GAGCCACCACACCTGGCCTCTCCTCTCCTTTTTGACGTGGTTCTTAGAAGGCTTAAAATTACTTCTGTGGCGTGCACCACATTTCCCTCAGACGGCGAGGCTGCGAGATGAAGCTCCAGGCCCCACTCGCTCCGCCGGCGCCCCGAGGCCCCCTCACCTGCCGACTGCTCCGCGGGAGCCGTGCCAGCCGCACGCCGGACATGTCGAACAGCCGCACCTGCCGGTTGTCGTGGGGGAGGGCGATGATTTTCTGGCCGACGCAGACGTTGATCCTGCGAAGGGGAGACCACACACAGTGAGTCGTGCGTGAGACGGCAGCCCCGTGAGTCTCTGACTTCACAGAGGCTGACGCGGTGCTTACGCGCTGCGCACAGACCTGCCCCGCACGAACACACGCACGCGGCCAGCCACGCAGACCCCTACGCACAGGGTCGGTCCCCCAGGAAGGAAGCGGGAGTGCTGTGAGTCCCCCCACCCTGCGGCTCTGCTGCGCCGCCTGACCTCGCTGAACAGGGCAGGCGTCTGAAGCATGCCGCCGTGGCGGAGGCGGGATAAGCACATTCCCCGGCGGTCTGCGACCGTCCCCAGGGCTCTGCCACACAAGCGCGGGGTCTCTGGGAGCCAGATGTGAAACCACGGCCCCGCCCCCTTCGCGCCAGGCCGAGCCTCGCGCCGCACCTGTTGATGGCGGAGTCCGTGCGGATGGTGGCGATGGGGGACCGCATGTTCTTCAGGTCCCAGACCTTCACCGTGCGGTCGTCGCTGCCCGACACCACGTTGTCGCCCACGGTGAACACCGCCGAGGTCACGGTGCTAAGGGCAAAGGCGACGGAGTCAGACACCATGGCACCCCTCCGCACCCGCACCCTCCCCTCGGCACCCCACACCCTCCCCCTCTGCACCCCACAACACATCCCAGACCAGGTGAACAGCGCCCCCCATCTCTGCACCCCACACCGTCCCCCTCAGCACCCCACAACACATCCCAGACCGGGGTGAGCAGCGCCCTCCATCTCTACACCCCACACCCTCCCCCTCAGTACCCCACAGAACATTCCAGACCGGGGTGAACAGTGCTCCCCATCTCTGCACCCCACACCCTCCCCCTCAGCACCCCGCAGCCTCCCCCTCGGCACCCCACAACACATCCCAGACCGAGGTGAACAGCGCCCTCCATCTCTGCACCCCACACCCTCCCCCTCGGCACCCCACAACACATCCCAGACCAGGGTTGAACAGCGCCCCCCATCTCTGCACCCCACACCCTCCCCTCTGCACCCCACAGGATCC